AGCGAGACAGAGACAGAGGCAGGCCATTTGCCATGCTGCAAGAACGCTGCAATGCGATTCCATAATCTGAGGTTTCAGTTATTTTAACGTGTATTTAATAAAAACCTGTGGTCCTTTTCCATACATCTTAACAAAGCAGGTTATTACAGATTATGGACATTTCCTACTGTGAATTGTGTCCGACAATGGACAGCTACAGGTATACACATCATGTTCCTTATTTACCAGCATATACTGCTGTGGTTTCAAATTCTTAGAATCTGAGCTTGGGATAGATGTTGTTGGTAACGGTTACTGGGTAAACACCCTGAGAAAACGTTGACTGTTAGGATAAAAGGTGAAGGATATTTGACTCTTTTTCATGCTTTGCTCTTCATGGTTCTTGATTTGCAAGGTCTCTGCTTTAAGTTACATTATGGAACACAGCTTGCTAAGCTATAGTTACGGATGAGTCAGCAATTCCAGTTGAATTTACATTTCTTTCAGGGGTTAAATATGCAGCTATTTTACAATTTTCTTCCAGCTGAAATTGGCAAGCAGACCTTGTGGGCTGGAGGAATGTCTTATAAGAGCCTGATGTTGTATTGTTTTACTGGGATCTTATATCCTTTTTTTTTTTTTTAAATCCATAAAGTTGAATTACTGTGCTTTAGATTTATGTCTTTGGGGAAAGGAGAGAAAGCCAGGGACAACTGGTTTATTTCATTTAGTAGCTCTAATCACTATAATTGTGCACTAATTTTTTCTTTTCCAAAATCTTGTTTCAGGCATCCGGAAAAAATGCATGGATTCATTCTCCTTCTGGGATGCAAACAGAGCTCTCATGGATGGCAATGGAAAGAGGAGACTGGAACCATGGCTGTTGAGCAGATAAAGATCAACTGGGAACGGTCAATAATCTGCCAGTATACCATGGGAATGTGCAGAAAGCATAGTCATGGTTCAAGCTCTAAGAATATAATTTCACATGATAAAATACCGGCCCCTACCATCTTTTGCACGCAAATGTTTTGCACTAGTCCCCTAGCACGAAACTTCCTCCAAAACCAGTACAACAAACTCCAGGAAGTTTCCTGGAGGGAACTTCCAGTCATATCAGGTTTCTACACCAACCCCTTTCCCTGCTGCCAGAGAGGGAGTCTGGCCAGATTAGTGGGGCATGGCTAGAACTTCTCTGCCCCCAGGCAATCCTGCCTGTATATCAGTCTCCTATAGAGAGCTCCCATTCAAAGTCAACACAATTTATACGCAGGGGCAACCCGAAGCATTTTTAAGTTCTTAAAGCATTTCTAAGAGGGGTTTTTTTTTTTTTTTTAATGTAAGATCACTTGCATTTTTATGCAAGATTCACTTTACATAATTTTTTTTCCACAGGATAAAACCTCAAATCCATTGGGGACGCGTCTTCAACCACAGCAAAGCCAGCACTAACAGGAGGCGCAATCAATCACTCGAGTAGGAGGTGTTAGTGTCTTCACTGGGCAAATTATGGATATTCAGAAGGAACAAACGTAAATCAAATAAATGCTTCTGGCACAACAACACATGCAATCCAAGATGCGAGCATATTTGTGATGTCCTCATGTCACAGCTTTGTCTTGGTAACAAGCCTGTGAAGACTGACTAGATGATTTTAATGGGTCTGTAGGACTGACCCATATAAACCTGAGCCTGATCCAGACCACAGCAGGACTCCTTAGTGCATGAAAGGAACAGATCCCAAAAGGACTGAGATAAAATTAGATCTTGGCAAATTTGAATTCAAAAGTATTATTTGAGATCTCATTCCCCACAATAGACATGCCATTGGCAAACAATCAAAAACAGGACATAGGTACAGAAATGATTGCTATTATGTAAGGACTAATTACCTTACTATAATATTTTGAGTACTACATTCCTAGGTTATAAAAACCAAGATAAATTACATTAGTGCTCTTGCTAGAATTAGACTTGAATCAAAACATCAGAAAAACACCGGAAAATTCACATCCAGATTCAAACTATGCAATTGGCCTATATTTTTATGACAAGCTGAACCTTTTGCTTACACAAATTGTTGGAAAAATCTAATCCACAATCACATTCTGTGCTTTGGACCAGTCTCCAATGCTGACTAACACATCAATATTCTCCATCTTATTATCACTGAGAGAAGCCCTGGATTTTGGGTCCAGTTAAAGAACACAGTAAAAAATAAGAGGGTATAAAGGAGAGTGAGTTTAGCTCACCAAGAAGTTTGAAGTGAGTTGATTAGAGATGTAGAGGTACCTTAATGGGATCCTGATGCACCATAGCCATGAAGAACTTTCTGAACCAATGGAGGAAGTCACAACAAGAGCTAGTAGATAGAACTTAATACCAGAGAAAACGGAATTAAAATTAAGATGGACTTAAAAAACCCCAAAACAAAACTCAACCAGAGAACCAACCACACACACTGAGGGTATTTAGTATCCCAAATCCGATATTCTCCAAGTAATTGTTTAAATTTTGCGGTCCCTCTTTTTAAAAAAAAAAGTTTAATTACCAGTAACAGTTGTAAAACCAATAAAGATGGCAGCGTAACTCTAAAGCAAAGTCTTGTTATACCTTACGCTGTGAGCTGCACAGATGTTGGCTGGTGTTAGCACCAGCTTGGATTTTGAAGCAGTCACACCTTTAATCTAGAAACCTTCTCCAATTGTCCCCCACCTGCAGAGTTGCGAGTTGCCAGTGGAGGCCAGGTGAGCAGGGCCAGGACTAGGAGATGCAACTGTGAGTTGCCACTAGAAGGCTGGTGAGTCAGGGCAGGCTTCTATCCCTGCTCCATGGGCAGGTGTGAGAGATCCTAGGATACTGGAGGACTTCCACTTGGGCAGAACATCTGTGTGGAATGGCCACACCTTAATGGAACAGGAGGCTGGGTGGTACAGATCAGAGATAATCCTGCCCTGGAGCAGTGCAACTTTGAGTCACATAATGAGTGCTTAAAACCACTCTAAAGTGTTGATTTGTGGACAATCCAGGGGGTAAGAGCTCCAGCTGCTGCCCAAAATTAGTGTTCAACAAGGCCTGTACGTTACTAAAACGAAAGGAACTCCAGTGCACCAGTGGCTTTGTCTGACATAGGACCCTGGCAAACATTACACTAAAAATATGATTAGTCTGTTAATCACGTCACGATCCCGGGCTTCCCCTGCACTTGCAAGAAGGGCATGATTTGGATCTGATCCCCATCCCTGTGGCATGGCAGGAAGTGTGATGGTTGGGACTGGGGATCAGATCCCATCATGCCTTTAAATTAATGTCTGCCAGTGCCCTGAAAGTGACACCAGATTTAAATAATGGTAATCTTCAGATACAACCAAAAGATTTGCCACTACTTCAGTAGTGCTAAATTTCACCCTAGATGTACAGAGTTTATTTAGGAGAGGAGTGGAGGAAACCACCGTTACTGAGAAAATAGCACATTCCTAGCTCCCATTAATAACTTCCCGTAACTCTTCATTGGTTTTGCTACCAACAACAGTAGAGAATGAAACTCACTAAACAATGTGCCAAGAGAGTGGTGGGAAATCCCTAACTTTTTCAGTGTTGACTTTGTTATGCAGGAAATTAAGCATAAGCTAAATCTAAATACTGTAACATATAAACTATGCTGGCCATGTACAGGCAGCCACCAAGAAATGGCCCTGTTTGTTGTGCTGTTTTGTAAGAAAAGAAGGACTTCATGTTTTTAAGGTTTGGCTGCACCTGAAAGTCTTGCAGTATTGTGAAGAAACAGATCTTTTATTTGGGGTGTAGCAACATCTAAAGCTATTTCTGCAACCATTAAAACATTTGTGATAACACAGGGATTTTTTCAGGAACATGCGGGGACAGGGAGAGTGGGACTGGCAGGGGAGTAGGCTGCATGGTGCAGTCAGAGGTATCAGGGTGTGAGGTAAGTAGGGGACTGCTGTGGTGGGGGAAGCAGGGTATACAAACATTGCTGCAGCCAGACAGGGTTGTCAGTAAAAAGGCACATCAGTAAAAAGTTTGCAGATTGTTAGTAAAAAAAATCCTTGGGTTCACAGCCTTCATATGCAGGGATCTTCATTTGGGAGGCGTTAGAAGAAAAAAAAAATCTGTGAACCACCATTTTCTCTTAAGCAGTTCATGCAGCAACTAATTTTAGATGCTCCTTAGTCCATCTTTCTGTTCATTATGGTTTTTGCCTGCATCCTCAATTTTCCCCCTTTGTCTCAATGGGGGTCCATACATGAGCAGTGAGGCTGCTCCAAGATGCTGAAATTCCAGTGCATCAGAGCAGATTTGATTAATTAAGTCTGGTGGAGCATAGCAATTGCCGTGCTCTAGTACGCTCCTGTGTCTCATGCATCAGCCTCCCCACATTTAAAAAGGGCAGTGAGGGCACTTGAAACTGAAGCTTGTTCAACGAGCTTTAGTTAAGTGCCCCCACCACCATTTTTAAGAGCAGGGATGCCGATACACTTTGATTAAAGCGGCTTTTGGAGCTGTTCTAATTAAAGCGCTGCCCCCCTCCCCCCCAGATCACATGTAGAAGTGCCCAATGTCAATGCCTGCTTTGACATTATCGATTTTGACAGGCATGGGATGTGCTGTTGTGCAGGTTTAGGTGTTTACTTTTGTGTATAAGGCTCATTGCCCTGACTATAGTCAGAGTCTTTGGTCTATACCAGTGGTTCTCAACTTTTTTGAACCCAAGGCATCCCTCCATAACTTTTGTGAATTGTGTGGCTCCCAATTTCCAAAAACTAATGTATATATAACAGTGCTTGACTTCTTAAAGAGGGGTTAGGCAATGGAGGTAGGGGATCATTCAGACAAGGACATGTCTGAGACTACATCTACTTAGCTCATCCGCTTATTTCCTCACATCCCACAACACACTTCAAAGGTTCTGGATGGTACCCTAGGGTGCCCCACCACCTTGACTGAGAATCTCTGGTGTCCAACCCCAGATCCCTAAAGGGCTTGGGATACATGTGGAAGCTGTTGTAAGGCAGGAATCAGATGCACAAAACGGTTTTGCTGAATGTTTCTTTCCTCTATTTGCAAAGCAATTTCTGTTTTTTGCTTGTTTTGAAGCATTTATTGTCCATAGAGACATATACAGGACCAAAATGCGCAAACATGATAAACAACAGCTGCAGGCCCTTTTGGCTTCCTTCTCTTTCTATAGTATATACTGTTTCTGTACTTAGTTTAGCCGGGGTCTGGTTGTCACTATGAAGGGGAAACAAATAAACAAGACTTTGACACCAAAGCTGGACATTTAAGATCAGATCTGGCAGGTTGCTGAATTCAGCTGCTAAGTTCTCAACCAGCCTTTCCCAAACACACTAACACAGATTGACTGACTCTTTCATTGTTGCTTCTGATATTTGTATTCACACAACAGCCATCTTCACATCCCTTTTAAAAAGGAGGCGAGCCATAGATATTTTCAAGGTCTCAGGAACTCGATTGATTCCTTAGGGACTCGCCACACAGTATACAGCAATAGTTTATTTTCAAGCATCTTATTGTAATGGGGACCTGACACCTCTGATCCAGCCTTCATGAAGAAGCAGCTTTTAAGAATAGCTTTTGATCTCCCAAACTTGGTCTCCACCAAGAGTGCATCCCAGCACTGTTCTGCTGAGTGATGAGTGATTTATTTCACATAATTCTTTACTCTGTCTGTCCCCTGTCCTTTCCTTAACCTTAGTGAGCAGGCTGGAAATAACACTATGCAGCACCTAAAAACAAGTAATCAAAGTGAACCCTTAACTTCAACCAAGAGCTCTCAACACTGCAGCAGTTAGGAAATAGAAACTCCTGCTAGGTGCTCAGTACACTGGACTCCTACTGAAATGGTTTGTTTATGGGTTATAGGAAACGAAAGCAAAGTAAAAAAAAGAAACAACCCCAAAAGCCACAGGAATCCCACCTGCATCCTCCAGCGAGATCTTTCCAAATGCACAGGTTGTGGACAGACAGTCCTGAGTGGAGGGCAACTGGGCCAGAGAGAAGATGGTTACAATGACACTTAACACTGGGCAGCATTGCTGTGGCAAACTGGAAGGTTTGAACTGATCAGATCCAGAGCTGTCCTAAAAGGTTCCCCAGGTGACCACAGTTCTGGGAACGACATCATATCACATAATCTGCAAATACTGTCTTCCACAAACCCTTCAGGAATGCTCATTGCCCCTAAAAAAAAAATAATTACACTCACCAAATGAATGATGTGTTGCCATAAATGGTCATCTGCCCTCACACAAGCAATTACCACCAGAGCCTCAGCTAGGAGACATAACCAGACTTTGTTACGTCAGCATGGGAATTTGCCCCGCACCATCAGCACAAGCACAGAAAACGAGTATGGTAGCACTATTTACATGTTTTGGCTCCAGGCCGACCCCTGCCTCAGCTTCCTCTGCTACAAGATTAGACTTTCCAGCTGCATGCTTGCAGTGGTAATTTGGCTCTGGAGGTGTAAGGCCTTCACCTCTCACAGGAGAGCAGGCTCCAAACGATTGCAAGCCTAAAGGAGAC